GTTGCCTGCAGTCACACTGAATATTATAAGCACACTAAGTCAAAAAGTACAGTAGAAAAGCAGTTAATAGATAGCAAATTATAGACATGACTCTGAAACTTGTGTTTGTTATTAGGAATCCTATTTCATAAAATTAATCACATGAGTGTTATTTAATACTTTTCTTTAGCTCTTCCTCTTAGTTCACTATAACCAATTGCAAATGCAGCTTTTCATTTGCCCTTTGAAGCTCATTATTGCCAGAGAGACTGAAATAAACTTGGGGATAAGAAGAAATTCTGGTTTTGGAAAGGAAACACAGGATGTTGCAATCTTTTTCAGAACACGCCAGTTATTCTGCTACACATAGCTTAATACATTTACCAACTATCCTCAGTTTTGTTTTGCAAAATTTGTGAATATTAATATTTTTAAAGAGCACTTTGGGTTCTTTTGTGGGTAGTTATGTATTTACATATGTATGTGTGAAGACAAAAACCCTTAAGCCAAAACCTGTCCACTTTCTTCAGCAAATCTCTTGAAGAAGTCAGTGGACTATTGAATTCCTCAGTAAGTCCTTTTTATAACTTCTTTCTGGCACATGGAGTGTTGTTTGCCTAATGTCTGGCCATGTCTCACCTAAATGCATTCCTACCATCAGTATTTTTGAGAGCATCTTTAATATCTTTGTGTCTGTGCCTGTGGCACTAAGCAGTTTCACAGACTCATCAAAACACTGATTGTAAGAGACTCGTGGAGAGCAGCTGCTGCAGCCTCCTCCACAAGGAGCAGCTGACACAAACACCAGACCATCTCAGACTTGACTTTGTCTCTTAAATCCTCAAAACCTTCAAGGACAGTGGCTCTGCAGCCTCTGCTCCCTCACCAACCTGTCCCAAATTTGCACTACCATTCTCCTCATGTCCAATCTGAACCTCCCACACTCTGGTGGCTTCTGCCCCATGTCTGGGCTTCCTGGCCCAACTGAGAAGAATCTGCCTCTATAATCTTTGTAACTACCCTTCAAGTAGCTGTAGCTTGCCCTTTATCTTCCCCCAGCTTAAACAAACATCCCTCTCCAAATCTCCTATTTTGAAAAATTCAAATGTTTCTGTCCAGCTGAAATCATGAAGCACCTTGAATTTTCAGGATCTGAATGAGAATTCAGGTTGCTTGAGGTGCAGGAGGTATCACTGTCCCTCTTGGCCTTACACTTTAAAAAAACTAAGAAAAAACTCGAATCTTTAATGGGTACTTCTAAGGGTAAAATACAGCAAGAATCAAATAATACTGACAAGATCCCTGCAAAAAGCTTCCTAACCCTTTTATGGAGGAGTTTGGACCTTTGTATACATGGGTATGTAGGGTCAGGTGCTTTGAATGCAGCTGGCTTATCATGACCAGGATTACTTTTACTTGTAGTGTATTAGCATAGAGCAGACAGCCACAACAAAATTGCAAAATACACTTTCGTTTGCCCTGCACACTGTCTCAGTGCCAATGACAATGAATACAGAGTGAAAACTAAACACAGAGCTACAACAAAACCTCCTTCAACTTCAGAAGATAGTATTTGAACAAGAAGCAAACACAGACAGATAAAGGCTCTTGTGTCAAGAGGAAAGTATCATGAGTCAGAGAGCAGCAATTACTACAAAACAGGAAAATGTTAATGAAACATTTAACACAACCTCAAGCTCCATGAAAACAAGGCCAAAATGCAGGGGGTTAAAGTGTTTATTATTTTGGTAAAAAATATCTCCAGCGTATTTAGTGAATCTCATTTCATGCTGTAAAGCCTTTTTGTTACCCTAGGCTCCAGCCACAAGGGCAGCACCACAGCCCTGACCTGTGTTGCCCAAGCCCTGACCCTGGAGGCTGACCACCAGCTGCATGGGGGGCAAAATCTGGGGCAGAGGCAGGCAGCAGAAGATGCTGAACTTCCCCCAGCAGTGTTTCCCATATTTGGGGAATCCCAAGCACCAAGCTCTGGGCCAGCACCTCCAATTCATACAACCAGACCCTCTCTGATAACTCTTTGGCTCAAACAAGGGCTCTAAGCAATAGGCTGAGAGGTTTTGTGCCCTAAAGAGCATAATAGTCTTCAGAAAATAGAAGCTGTTGTGTGGCAAATGTGGGAGGCTGTGCCTGGGGGGAAAAGGATCACTGAGCCTTTTATAATGGCACTGCCACCACTGCCAGCTCTAGGTTCTGCCAAAAACCTCTGTTCTGGAAACACCCTTCTAGTTCTTGAAGACTCTGGAAATACACACTTATAGCTACAGAAGTTTGTTCCTGATTCCTCTGTTCAGGAAATGTGGCCTCAGTCCCCAGATCTGCTGTGCCTGGACATTTCTCCTGTCAACAATGGTAGGTATTACTGCAGCAGTTTTCTCTATAAGACATAAGGTATCCAAAAGGCACCAGGAGAGAAAAATGTAACATCTACCCAATATGATAATTTTAACTGCAGTTAATCTGGCTTCCTCAGAGAAAGGGTAAACAGGGGTCTGGGTTGGGTAAACACTCCCTGGTGAGCTTCAGGGTGCTCCATAGGCACTGAGGTGACTAACAGAGCTTGTAGTATGATCCCACAAATTAACAAAGAAGAGCTTTACTTAGTATCTTTTGGTGGAAAAGTAACCAAGAGTACAGTTGGCCTTTTTTTGAATGTAAGTGGATCTACTCTGACTGCATGACTCTGTGGCAGAGACATGTCACACATTTTAGTATGTGACAAAGCTAGTTCCAGCTACAAGAGGCAAGGGTGGACATCACAATGTTGTGCTTTCTTTTGTTCACTGTTTCCAGCATTCTAATAGAGAATTTAATCCCATTCTTTGTCAGAAACCAAAAAGAAAATATTTGGGCTTTTTCTTTGAACTCTTGCATGACCTCAAGCAATACTAGCAAATACAAAGTTTTCTTTACAAACAGTGAAATCAGCCAAGCTGAAGACAAAACAGAAAGAGTCTTGAGTTAGCATGTGCCTCCCTTCAGTGGGAAGATTGGACACTGACATTTGTGCTGTGCTGAAAGGCTTTCCTGATGAAAATTAAGCAGTGCTTTTCCAGTTAGGTATAGGCAGAAAGAACTGGCAGAGTCAAAAAAACCTGTGTTAAGAAACAGTGTTAGCTGGCTCTTCTCTGCAGAAAAAAAATTGCCTACAGGTAAGTGAATGGTTTCTGCCAGCTCCAGCTCCCTGCACACCTTGCCTGGTATTTTTGAGGCATCTGGTGCTGGGACAGGGGCACTGCCGAGCACCATCAACCCTGACAAATCCATCCCCCCATACGCTGAGGAAAGATCCACCCAACTAACATGATGTGGTTACAGAGAGAATTGTGCCACACTGCTTGACTCAGTGGGAATCAGAGATAGACGTGGATATTTGTGGTATTTGAAAAGGAAATTACCTCTAATCTTGACTATTATATATTTAATCAGGTTCAAAAAAATGTATCAGCAGTCATTTTCACAGCTGCTGCTGATTTGTTAGTACACTATCTCCAAATCTCCCTGCTGTTTTCTTTATGGTTTGCAGTCTTATTTTCCTTTGTTTAAAGAAATGTTTTTCTCTCCCCTATTGTTAAGTGAAACAAGCCACATGATCAACAGAGCAACAAGAGGCTGTCCATACCCACAGCCCTGTCAAGTGTGCAAAGCAAACAGGCTCAAGCAGAGCACAGCTGCCTGCCCCAGCTCCCCTGGCAGCTCTGCTCCCCTACCCTAGCAATGGCATAGGACAGCTTGGTGCCAAACTTCTGCTGAGAACTGCCTTAATACATTAAGGACCCCTATTCTTGGTCATATGCCTTAGAGGGAAAGCCTGTTTCCCTCATTAGATCAACAGATGAAATGAAAAACATAGGGAGCTTTCAGACTCAAAGTCCATTCAACCAAACTAGGCCCAAAAATTTGTTCATTTTTCCAGCTATGTTTAAATCAAGATAGGACCTCTGGCTCCAAACCTTGCACCTCCTAATCTTTGGATTGCACTGCTTTTGGCATCGGATGCATGACTGGCCTTACAATCAGTTGTCTTTTCATGGGAATGCAAAACTGAGGGAGACAGAGCTTATTTTTGTTAAACCATTTGTCTGAGTCTATATTGGAACTCAGAATTCTTTTTTTTTGCAGGGGGGAACTCTGAAACCAGCACAGCATAGCCGGTGCTGGCAGCAAGCAAGCAGAAGGCCTGGTCACACTGGAGCAGGGTTGGGTTCCCACAGGTTGTCACCCAGCCTGAGCTAAAGCAGTCTGAGTGCTCCACAGGAAACTCTAAGAATTAAAAATTACATCCCCTCACTTGCCCTCCTGCCTTCACAGTGAGACCAGTCTGAGGGCTTTAATCACAAAGCCTACATGGGTGGGAGGGCTGGAGGGTTGTAGGTTTTAATCATGGTCATTAGGTAATTGGATAAAATTCTGCAGTAAATTCTGAAGTATTACAGGCACATCACAGATAATTAAATACTTCTTCACAGGCCTATATTGCCATTAAATGAATAACATTTGTCACTGGACATATATCTCCTCAGCTAAAATTACACTAAATATTTCAACTGGGAAACTAAGGCACAGGTCAAACAGCCCCTTTGAAAGCACACACTTCAGTCCAGACAGGCAGTGCAAGATGTAGCTCTGTTGTCACAGAGATAAGAACAGTGTGGGATCAAACAGGTATTTCTTCCAGAACTTATTTTTCAGGCTCTTTATTATTGTGCTACTGCAAGATTAATGCAGGCACATTATTCAAAAACCCAGACTGTCAAATGAAAGTGTGATCAAGCTTGGGTGGCGTGTTCTGGGGAGAAGCATTTTGAAATAGCGCTCAGCTCAGAGAGCAAATAGCTCCGGTAACTGAGATGTTTGCCCTCAGTGTGCTCCAATAAACTGATTTACCTTTCTTCTTTTTTTTCCCCGTTTTTTTAAGAGCTGACGCAAGTTTGTCAAAGGGAGTTGTTGGGTGTAGCAGCTGTTGATTGGTTTATCCCATACACTCCCATTTGTCTTTAAATCACTGTTCAACTGCTCTAGGTTGCATATGAGTAAACTTTTTCTTACAGGTGCAATTCCTAAAATATATAACCTGTCCAGCAAGTGAGGAAAGGAACCTGCTTAACTCAGAGGTAAACTTTTTTTCTTTATAAAATTTTATCAATGTATTTTAGATGCTGGCCATATCTTCAGAAACTGGGAATTATAAATTCAATTAATCTGTAAATATAAGTGCAATATGAAGGATGGGCTCCTTAAGATTTACTGACATGGTAATTTGTACTGGCAAATATCTTTGGTGTTTCTTCAGGAATGAAATTTAAGCTTCTCTTTTGTACAGAAAATCAAAACTTAAGCAACCACAGAACAGCAAAAGTATTCAAAATTTCCCAGTCAATTAAGAAATGAATGATTGCTTTCCTTTGCAGCCCTTGGCTACCTTCTGAGAATTTTTTTCCAGACTCCTGAGTTACTTGGCTAATATTTCTTTGAGCAAATTAATTTGGGAAAGTGAACTTTAGATTTTGATTATTTATTTCACAGCTGCAACACTTATTTCATTTTGAAATAACCACATAGACAATAAACTTATAAAGTCACTGTCATGAAGACAAAGAATCTGGCAAAATCTGCCTCATCGGACACCATGGCTGAGATTACAAATATTGATATTGCAAAACCCATGAAAGTGTTAGTCATATCTATGACCCAGCATTATTTGCCCAGTGGTTGCCCATTCGCCTAAAGTTCTAACTGCAGACTGGACAGAAATCAATAACCTTGTGAAATCAGATGCCAAAAATTTCATAGTTTTCCAAATCATTGCTGAAAAGCATTACTTAACAAATGATGCCAAACAGTACCCTATACTTGAAGAGGAAAATTAGTTTTATAAGAATAAATAACTGCCCTCTAATAATAGGTGAATATTTTTTGCAATGAGTATTTCCATTTTAATAGCATACTTTAGGAAAAATCTTTTCTGTTCAGCCAAGTGCTACAAGAGGAAGCAAAAACATCATTGTATTGAAGGCAAGTTTGAGGAACACTGGAAATCTAAGAGATCTCTCTTGTATGTTTAGGCACCAAAATTACAGATCTGAAGCAGAAAGCATTAAATCCCAGGGAAGCTAAAGCAGATGAACCTTGGTGGTTTTCATCCAATATTACAGGCAGGGCCCAGGCTTGCCCAGCCTTGGTGGCCGTGCTTTCATGTCATCCCTGCCCTGGTTCCTGGCTGTCCCTCCAGGAGCAGCAATCCAGCCAGCACAACCCCTGAAGGGATGCAACTGAGAGCCCAATGTCAGTGCATCCCATTTATCTAAATATCTTGCAGGCTGAGTACAATTCCAGAGGTGCAGGGTCACCCCATGTCCCCCTCAGATGAAGTGACAGCTCTGTCTCCTCTCTGTTACTTGTGGGAAGAACATGCTACCAGTGCCTGTACATCTCCCAAAACCCCACAGTATCTGTAGTGCTAGGAACCTGAAGATGTGGATTGCCACCAACTAAGGACCAGCCCTGCCAACTTCTACTGAAGTTCAAAGGCACCATTGGGCATAATCAGAGTTATTGTTTGCAGGATTCAAATCTAATAGCAGGCCTGTTTTATGGGTCTCACTCTCCCCACATTTATGCCAACAGCTTTCTGCTCATGGTTTGCAAACCTCAGGAGTTCTACCAACCTTTCCTTAATAAATTACAACTGCAAGAAAGCAGATTCTAAATAGACTTAATTTTGCCACCTGAAGCTTTGTACTTTCAGCAGAAGACTTTTAGGAATTCAAATATTAGCAACAATAAAATAAAATAGAAAATCATTGCTTTATGCAGTGATTACACAGTCTCTTGAGATGACACCCATAAATCAGATGACTTGTGTAAATGTTTGACAGGGCAATGTCCAGATGATTCTTATGCTGTAACATGTATTTTCAGTCAATTTTTCCGTATTGTTTGCTGTGCTGCACAAGCTTTCATCCTCAGCCTAATCTTTGTGCAGCTTAACTCCTGGCAACTTTTTTGCTTACTTTTCCTCCATTTCCCATCTCTTTGAAGATCTGTATTTTTTGGACTGTTACTTCTGGAAAAGATATATTTTCAACAACAATTAGGCAGCGCACACATAGGAGGTTTTACCCTTTACCAGAACAAGGATAAGCACAGTTAGATTTGTTTGCTTGACTTCTACGCCACAGATTAAAAATAAGCATCAAGAACTGGAAAAACTCTCTTTCTCAGACAAGGCAGTGTCTGTGTTTGAAGACAGTTCTGTGAATGAAACCACAGTTGTCAGGGCTCTGTTGGGGGTGGAGGGGTGAGGAGGCTGTCCCTGGTTTTTTATCTCATGGAGTTATTCATACCCCAAGCAAGCAGAATCCCCCAGGCACTGGAATGTGAGTGCCAGCAGCTCTGTCCTGATGCCTGAGTCACTCACCCCCTCACACATACAAACACTCCGTAAGGCAGCAGAAAGAATTAAAGCCAGCCAGGAATTTTCCTTTGGTAGGAAATTTCCTAATGCACTGTGATATTACTTCTCCTGTTCAGTTGCCTGGTCTGGGTGATTTTAGTAAGAAGCAAGGAATTTGACATTAATTTCTGGCCTGGAATCAGTTTAACCTCCAGGATTGGTATTTAAAGTTTATATTTGCATTTTAAACACACGCACTCCAACATCTTGTCACCACATATATGCTTGTAGATGTTCTTAAGAACAGCATGTGATCAGTATCAGAGGAGAGCAAAGGTCTGGTCATTGAGCTGGACCTATATATACCCCTAAATGCAAAGCCAGGAGAAAGGCTACTAAATAATTGTAGATTTAGTGTTGCAAAGAGCCAGACTTAGAAATTATTTGTTGCAGTGTTTTCTGATATTGTTATTATGGAATGTTGAGCTGCATTTGAAATATCATATTTATGAAAAGTGTCATGAATCTGGCCAGCGTGCCTGATTGCAAGGCAGTAGGTAAATGTCCAGGAAACTGTAACTGTGGCCCCAGGTGTGTTCTCTCTGATCTCTGCTCACTCCCTTCACTGGTGTCCCCTCAGCTGTGGAATGGAAATAGAGAATGCATCAAGGAATATCTTTGGAAAGGGAGAAGCATTGCAGAACTGCAGCATTTCTTGAGCAGCGTTTTCCTCTTAAATCTGATCATAAACAAATGAATTCACATGAGTATCTACAGATGAGTCTGTAGCACATAGCTGCTGAAATCCCAGAGGTGAAGTTCTCTTTATAAATGTGGGTCATACGGTTTCATTTGGCCCATACAAGAAATAAAGAGTTGACCATTTATTCATATGATTTATAAAAGACAAGAATTTTTCTCATGGGGTAAAGATAATCAGTCTAATATCCATGTAATAATCCTGTGTGAGACAGACCTTCCAATGATGGGTCAAGTAAGAATTAAACACCAGTTCCCTTAAAAACAGAAACTGGCTTATCAGAATTGCACCTCCTATGATCATACAAAGATGTCACCTCTATCAGATCCCAGTGAAAGGACAAATCTATAAAACATTTAAACCTGTGACAACATGAATCTTCCAACAAATGGGAAAGCCTTTATACTGCTATACTCCTGTTTTTATTTATTTCTGCATCACCCTCCCCTAAGAACTCCAAAGCAGCAGTTCAGGAAATTATTTTCTGCTGCCTTTGTATTTTTTTCCAGATGCTGGATATCTGCTGTGCATCTGTTGGCCTCTGCACCCTTTACCATTTGAAGGGAGACAGGAGAACCAAGTGGTGGCATATAAAGAGACTTTTATGCTTGCCCAGAATTTTCCCAGTCTGCAACAGTTTCGCCTCTTAATGCTATTACAAAGATCAAACACAAACCAAACAATTCACACTGGTTTATCTAATTTGAAGAAAACTCTAATGAGTTCTGTTGTGTTTTGTTTGCAGAACAGAGTGTTCTGGCAGTCCCTGCATGACAGAGAGGACCTGCAAGCAGACGGCACAGTGCTGTTTACCCTGAAGAAGCGAGTGTGTGTGCTGGAAAGCGCTGACCGCTCTAATGGATCGCATGGAGCTGCAAAAAGTCAACATCGAACCTGATGATCAGAGCAACAGCGGGGAAAGCCTCGAAGACAACTACAGAGAGCCGGCCAATTCGGAAAAGGCTGCCATTAGCAGGTAAGCATTTATCTGCTCTGTTAAGGCTAGAAAGCAGTAATCAATAAATAATCTTCACTAATGGCATCTGGGAAGTTTCCCCACAGCACTGACCCTCCCTGCTCTGTGCTCTGGAGGACAGTGTGCCCAGAGCAGCAAGGCAGCACAGGTCCCCCCAGCCTGCCACCACCTGGACTGATATCTTCAGGCTTCCAGCACAGACTAACCCTTGGCAATTTCCAGCTACTCCAGTCAGATAGTACATGTGTAATTAATGCACTTTCAGAGCAGAGAGTGCTTGAGCACTGAGGGGGAATGTTCCCCAGGGCAAGATATGGAGGGCAGCAGGGACAGCCCACCCTTAGATATTCCAGCAGAACCCACCACAACACTAGCACCTGTGTGGCTGGAAAAAGACATCTCAAAACCAGCCATCAGTCTTGCTCTCAGCTTGCTGCTCCCTCCAGCACATATCTCCAACACAGCAGTTGCAAGGCCCTTTGCTCCCCAGACATGAAGCACGTGCTCATCTTCAGCGTGTTACTGACAGTATGGATCTGCTTTCCAACATCTGCAATCAGGTGTAATTTGAAGACTACTGGCTCTAAAACTAAATTCCAAATCAAAGCAAATATCTACTAAACGTGCCATTGGACATGAGAACTTTACAGGAGAATAGAGCTTTTTATTTGATGGATTTTTAAATATTCATAGCAATGTCAAAGGACAGTTTCCACTGATGACAAAAGGCACTACTCAAATAAAATGTGTGACATAACCTTTATCTAATGTTTTCTTATTTTGCTTTGTGTTCAGTCCCTTTGCTAGTGATGATGCAGAAAGTCAGAAGTTCCTTACAAATGGATATCTGGATAAAAAGAAATTGGAAGAATATAATGAAGAATATGTAAGATTTATTCTTTTTTGAATGAATGAATGAATGAATGATGACAAAGTCAATCTTATTGACCTGTTTTTTATCTTAAAGTGTCAGTAAGCAAAATTACCCTGGAGCCCTAAGCTCCAAGCATAGTCTTGGCTTTCAAAGGGTAAACACATTTTCTAACAGTGCAGCAAACCCTTTCTGTTGTCTTACAAGTAAAACTGAGTCTTTCCTTCACAAGTCACCAGAAAAATTCTTTAGATCACACTTGAGCTTCAGTAGCATCTCCATGTAATCCCAGCTGAGATGTGCAGATGGGGGGTTTGCACGCATTTTTCTAACAGGACATTGGGCTCAGAAGGACATTGCTGTTCCTACAGCCAGGTAGATCTGTGCCTTAGTGCATGCATCCTTGTATTTCTAGTTTCCAGCATCTGTGTAATGAATCTACATTCAGCTGCACTGCTTCAAAGAAAGAACCTTATTGTTTTGGCTTTATGATGCTGAGGACAGTCAGCTCACATCCAGTTCCCTAGATAGCTCCCCATGCAAGTGGAAGCACACCAGCTCCTGGGGCATGCATGTGGGTACCTCCCTGCTCACGATTTATTGTTACTCAATTTTTAGTGAATTTGATGAAATGAAAGGCATTATTTTATCAGTGGTGTTACAAATTTTATTAAGGAATGATCACATAAAGTCAAAAATATTTTTTGTGTTTGTAAACTGAAATTAAGAGCCATGTTCCCTTTTTCTTTTCCACTTGATGTCAGTTGTAACTCATTCACACACCATCCCCTCTCTCCTAGGTTTTGTCCTCTTCCATTTTCTGCTTCCAGCCCTAAGAATGCAGCACTCCTTTTTTCTTTTCCCCAGACACCTTTTTAGTTCCCCAAAGAAAAAAAGCACATTCTACTTGGAGACAAATTCAATAATCTGTTTTACATTTTTTTTAATCTGAATATTTAAAAATTGGTAATTGAGAAATCTGTTTGATAACAGCATGTATTTCCATGGAGGCTGGCCAACATAGCCAGTGTAACTGTGTCACCTAAGTCACCTGTCAGGAATGTAAGCCTCATCCTGACTGAGACAGTGAAAGAGTGGGAAGAGGCAAACACTACCAGCATGGCTGTTTTTGGGTTAGACGCCTTATGGTAGCAAGTCCCTCTGGGCTTGGGAGCCTTGAAAAAGCTCCACCTCTAGGGATCAAGGGAGCAGTACAGGGAACACAAGCAATGAGGATAATTACCCAGTCATGCTCAGTAAAATGCAAATGAATTGCCATTTTCTGTTCTTGCACCCAACAGCACAGGGGCAGAACTTCCTTTGGAATGTCCTCGTTCAACCTCAGCAATGCCATTATGGGCAGCGGCATCTTAGGGCTCTCCTATGCCATGGCCAACACAGGAATTATTCTTTTCATGTAAGTACATAGAAAAAGAAGCACATAGAATATAAGCAGGGGAATGGAGGTGGAGTTTTTATGATTAGAGAGGTATGTTAATCTTGGTTTGTTAGCAGAAGATTCTTGTAAGAGCCTCTGTAATGAAAGTATTTCAGCTTCACCACAAGGAACCATTCACTGCTGGAAAACCTTTTATGTTTTTAATATTTGGACCTCTTTTGTCTTAGAAACATGACTGTGAATTGATAGTGTGTGGTCAAAAATCAGAAGGAAAGAACAGCATGCTGATCCTAAAATAACAAGACCAATCTTGCCAGTTCAGTATGGGAATCCAACAAGCTAATTAAATCACCCACAAATATGTTTGCATCACCCCAATTATCTAATTACTATGTAGAAATGGAAGAAGAGCATTCGATATAATCTGAAATGGCAACATGCTTTGAGTGCAAAGGCATTCACAGATCTGATGCTGCTTCAAGTCTGTCTGTCTGTCTGTACCCAATGTGCACAAAGGACAGAACTGCTCTGTGGCTGACAAACAGCATCTACACATGGGTTTTGACAGACAGTAACACATAGCCAAGGGATCATTTTTTAATTGATGGCTAATATCTGGCTCCTTTTAATGTGACAAACTGTATCAAAAATAAATTTTGGGGATTTTTTTAATAACTGATTTTAATTTTAGCCTGAAGCCTTAATTTAACTTCCCATGAGACTGGAATAACCATGATATTACTGTGTGACAATAAGCCATTTTTTGACATTACTGAAATCTAGCATGTTTTCATAGAACTTCTTGCTTGTGGGGACTGTGTAACTATGACATCAACAGCATCTAAAATGTTACATGTAGCTTACAGTTGCTAAGAAACATCTCCTGTTTTGACAATAAAATTTTTAACTGAAAATTAATTGTAGATTCAAATGCTGTTCTGTATAAGCACTTCATAACACCTGCACCCAGCTGGTTTAGATAAAGTGTTTGCAGAGCAAAAATTAGAAGCCAGTTCTAAAACTCACATTTTATCAGGATCAGAAAAATGTAGAATTTTTTTTGTCCTCCAATTTTCTCTGATCACTTGTACTAACTGGTATGTTCATAAATGATCACTGGAAAGAAAACTGTGATATGTTAAGCCTCACTAACAGAAAAAATATTACCTTTATAATATCTTTATTTTGAAATTCTGTTTATACTGACTGGTGGCTAAAAATTCTGATATGAGCTTCATGGTATTAGCTCTGTTGGCATTGCTAAAGTAGGGAGTAATGCTAAAGCAAAAAAAGAAAAGTATCTCGCTCACACAGCTCACTTTCTTTACTATGCTATTTTCATATTTCCTGCATGAGAGCATTCTCCCTTTTGGTAAAGGAAGGAATTTTATTTAAAAGTATGAAGTTGTGTGTAGATACTGTTACCCCCACAGCAGTTATCCACTTGCTTGAAGTTCCTCTGTTTTCACAACACATGATGTTAGTGCTAGTGGAACAGAAAAATCCCATCTATGAAATGGAAACTACTGGACATGAATTCTAATTTAGATTATGCTGGGAGCATGGTCTAAATTTTTCTAATTACTCTTCTCATGTTGCCCAAGTGCTTTCATGCTGGAAGGTGTTCTACAGGGTGAAGGAAAATAGAAGGCTCACAAAACTCCAAAAGCATAATTTCTGCTGCCCAGCATGATTTAGCATGTGCAGCCAGGAGGACTTTGGTTTTCCCCACCTCATGCATCAGGACACAGAGATCATGTCTCTGAACAGCAGCTGCATGGGTGCCCTGATCAAGGAGGATCCCACCTCTTCAGGACACACTGCCACCTCAGACACCCTTTACCATACTGCATGAGCCCACAGCAGGAGACAATCCTGCCCACACCAAGGTGCTGCCTCTCTTGAAGAGGGAAACTTCAGAGGAAATTCTGATGGTCTGGTGGTCATCACCTGGCCCCAGGGCCCGAGTCTGCTCTAGACTGTAACTCATTTATGAACCTGGCTGTCAGTGTCTCCTATATCTATACCAAGCCACGTGTTCAGTGGAGGGGAAGCTGTGGGCACAACCTCCTGTTCAGCCATAGGAAAAGTTCATCCATATTTTCTATATCTGTCAAGTTATTCTCTTCCTCACCAGCACTTGGGCAGGCTGATGAAAAGATGGTTAAGGTAATAAGATATGCTTGCACAGTGCTGTGCCCCAAAAATGTCATACAAAGCTACATTTTCACAAACAGTTTGCAAGAGGCAGATAGCTGAAGAAATAACATAAAATGCACCTGTTGTGTGGAAGGAACATGGCAGTAATCAGAATTATTGAAATCAGGTACTGGTACCTTCAAGCAGACTAAGACTACAAGTTAAGCTACCAGTGCTCCAAGAGCAGGTTTTCCAGGTTTGTGCCGTGCTTTAACATGATGCAAGATTTCTAATGTACTCACACAGCAGGCAACTAACCCCCACTGCACAGTGATATGGCAGAAGTCAAATGCAGTGACCAGCCAAGAGGTAGCATTGAAGGTGTCCCAGTCACAATTTGATTTTGGGTTTCATTTTTGTGGGGTTTTTTGACAGCTCTGATTAAGGAGAGATTTGAAGATGAGAGGTCAGTGGGCAGGTGAAAATCCTAAGACCAGATTCTTGCATAGAAATCTGTTTACTTCAGTGGGATCTTGTTAAGATATAAAAATTTGTCCTTGTGGACTAGCACAGAACTAGCACTTAGTGGACTTCAACAACCCTTCAGGGGCTCTTAGAGTGCATAAGGTGCAACTGTACTCACAAGTAAGCTGCAGTTGACACTTAGCTCTGCATTTAGCACTGGGAGACCAAAGAACAAACTTGCTGAAAATTACACATTGAACTTCATGAGAACGAGCAAGTGTATATTCAAATCAACTGAGTGTCTCTAATGGCTTGCGTAGGATCCTGATTTCTGCTTTTTCTTGCAGAGTTTTGCTGCTCAGCGTAGCAATATTGTCACTCTACTCGGTCCACCTTTTACTGAAGATTTCAAAAGAAGGAGGTAGGAGGCTGTGATTGACGGAGTCTGTATTGCATGCACGTATTTTACCTTGGAATGCAATTTATTAAGTATGTCCAATGTAGTGGCCCACATTTCTGTTTTGGTTTTGTTTGGGTTTCTTTTCAGGATCATTAATATATGAAAAACTGGGAGCAAAGGCATTTGGCTGGCCTGGGAAGTGTGGTGTTTTCATTTCAGTCACAATGCAGAATATTGGAGGTAAGAGACAAAAGTTTTCTAGCTTCCAATGCTCTTCCTACAGAACACAAGTGATTTCATTTTCTCCTCTGTCTGGCTAAATGGAATCAGAGATGAACCAGATACAGCATACATTCTATTGTAAAAATGGAGGATATGAGGAATTAATCTCATTTTCAGCTGACACTTCAGTGAATGGTGAAAGACAGTTGCCTGGGATCTCTCCAGGCCAGTGAAGAGCCTGACTGACTGTCCTCAAGGAACTGGCCAGTCTCTTTATTGAGTATGGCTCAGTCTGTTCTTAGCATCTAGTTAAAGCATCCGCTTCAACTTAGAAAATATTAGTCTGACCTAAAAGGAATAGCACAGTGTTCTGACTTCTGTATAAAAGGCTTTTCAGTAGTTCTTTTTCAGCTGAATGAACATATTTGAATTATTCCTTCAAATAAAAATTGAGTTGTGTTATTCATAAAATGCATGTTTAAAGTAATTTTTTAATGTACTCACCCACAAAGATACTTCCTGTGAAATATCTATCAAATAACCTCCATCATCTCAGAACAGGAGACTTACCAATATAAACAGTAGTGATAGAGTGTACGTTCATTCAACAAAGTTTTTTCCTTTACTATCCTGGAAGAAGCCTGTTAGGAGGCTTAAGAACACCTGATCTGAAAACAAAAGGGAGTTTGTAATTCTTACAGATTCCTTAAGGAGAAGTAATTGAAACTTAAATTAAATATGCCATTAGTTAATTAAATTTATGCAGGATTTTTGGTGATTTCTCTATTGGAACTTGCTATGTTTGCAAAACTCCATCAATAGATCAATACTGTTACAGCAACTTTGCTGCACAGAGGTAGTTCACATCTCTGTGCTGCAAAAGACTTCTTGATTTTGTTCATGAAAGGTGTTATGGTATTCCTTTCCTCCCTCAAGCCTGGATGTCAAATTGGTTGAATTCAGAAATTAAGTATGCTTTCCTATTAAAGAGGAATAGCTGTTCCTCTAGTTCTTGTCTAGATTGATCCATAGGTCTTTAGAGATTTCTCTGTGACAAATGCAAAACGAATGAAAAACACAAATTTAAAAAGTACTACTTCTGGCAGTACATTTTAAATGAGATGTATAGAAGTCCACTCTTACATCAGGAATCTTGACAACTACTCGATTTCTTTATATATAGAGAAGACACTGGAAGAAAGAAGTTGAAAGTAGGAAGGCTAAGACAGCTGAAGAGATGTAGAGGAAGTAAATCTAAAGTTACAACAGAATGGGGATAGACAGCATCCATTGGAGAAAAAAACATGTAACAAAAAAGCAAAAGGAAAAATTAATAGTGATTTAAGTATGCTATAAATTTAGTAGTAACTGTATTGTATTCTAATACAGAATGCTAGATGTTATTCAGAACATGTTCATAACAATATAAAGGATTTATTTATTTATTTGTTTATTTAGTCACACTGTTATTCAAATAAAACTCTTCTCTTATTTTAGCAAAACTTTTTTTCTTTTGGAACTACAGTTTTGGAAACTCAGTTCTCTGAAGGTGTTTTTTTTGTTTGGGTTTTTTTTCCCAGCAATGTCAAGCTACCTCTTTATTATTAAATATGAACTTCCTGAAGTCATCAGAGCGTTTATGAAACTTGAGGAGAATTCTGGGTAGGTACCTTTTCCCAGCCTGAACCTGAGATGACAAATTTTCACTTTGATGTCAATGATGATTTGATTTTTTTTCTTATTCTTCCTCTTTAGAGAATGGTACCTTAATGGGAACTACCTCGTCATACTTGTAACAGTTGTGATTATTCTTCCCCTCTCCCTTCTAAAAAGCTTAGGTAAGCTTAATGCCCTGCTTGTGTTCATTTCTTAGTCCTTTTAGGACTGTGAATTTTTATGTAACTGAACTATTTTGTTCTGTTTTGTTTTGTTTTTCTTGCTGCACAGGTTATCTTGGTTATACGAGTGGGTTTTCGCTGACCTGTATGGTTTTCTTTGTCAGTGTGGTAGGTGACTGTTTGGATATTGTCTCCAGACAAATACAGACTCTGTAAACCTTGAACACTTTTATACTTCATACTGTGGTTATTTTATGTTAGAATAGCCCCTGCAAGTGAATTAAATCAACAATGTATTGCTGAATGAAGTCAGAATAAAAAATCTGTTAAAAAACACTTGAGAATAAAAAATTAAGCAGGAAAACAGCAGAGGCAGAGTAACAGCAAATATTTGCAGAAGAAGCACAATTGGTAGCTCTTGGTTTCTTGCTTCTTCTCTTTCTCAGTGTCTGTTTATACTTCTGTTGGAATACCACAGATGTGTAATCTCCTATAGTGGCACTCTTCTGATAACATTGTCTACTCTTTTGTAGGTGATCTTCAAGAAATCCCAAATACCCTGTCCTCTTCCTGTCATGAACCACGGGGTTGAAAACTGGACAGCCACCAATAGCACAGTGCCAATGCACCTGGTCATGTTATCAAATGAGTCACTCGGTTCTGGTGTGAATTTCATGATGGACAACACAGCTGGGCACTTCCCAAGCCTTGAGGAGCCAAAAGATATCTCCCCGAAAAGCAGTGTAGAATATGAAGCACACAGCGACAACGGTGACAAGTGCCAGCCAAAATACTTTGTGTTCAACTCACGGGTAAGGGAGGTTCTGTAGAACTTCCACCACTTGTACCACAGCTAAACTGCTGCCTGCCAAAAGTCAGAGGTACAGCCGTGACCATTCTTACTAATGGGAGCTTTATTTTACAGACTGCCTATGCAATTCCCATCCTGGCATTTGCATTCGTATGCCACCCTGAGGTGCTACCAATATACAGTGAACTCAAAGAGTAAGGTTCTTAAATTTTGTCCAATACTTCCAGTTAACCATAGATAATTTTCTACATCTGTCCATTGATTGCTGGTGTGTGAACACCCACGTGATAGTGAAATATTGCTTTCCATATTAAGCAGATTTTGGCTTTGCTTTGGTCTTATAGTCAGATATTGGTGACAGAGAACCACTGCATTGATCTATATTACTTAGTAAAGGAGGACTCTGGGAAGTCCTTCAAATTATCTGAAATAAACTGGGGGGAACTTGGTTGAAACAGATAATTCTAGTTTCTAATATTACCTAAATGTGTTTTGTGTCTGTGTCAGTTGCTGCTTGCTCTTAAAATTTCTTGGGATGACATCGGTTTGGGTGTCTTAGATAGGCTCTTCACTCAGCCTGTTTTGCTTAACAAATATCAAAAATCAAATATACTTGCTTAAAACAGCACAGAGTTAACAGCTGGGAAGGGCTAATAAAAGGCATTTGCTGAACAGCAAAAAAAGCATTACAGGAGGGTGTGTTGCAACACTCAAGGAGGTTAAGAACCATTACCTCCTATTTCAGTAGGTTTAACCTCAAAAGCCATAAAAATATTAATATTACTTGAGAAAATGCTTGCAGGTCCTATAAGATGAAGATTTTCTTTAACCAAAGGATTTATGAAGGAAGGATGTGATCTGTAAGGGGTTCTTGAACCTGCAGAACAGTCCTATGTAGATATAAGGATCTGTTCATATGGAGATGGCTAGAAACTCGTCTATTATTGTCAACAGACCTGTAATTCTTGTCCCTCCTTTTTTTTTAAATCTAAAATAAACCATTTGAGATTAACATTTAATAAATATTGATATACAAAATAATGTGGCACGTTTTTATGTTGCTCAGAAAAAGCACTAGAAACGCAATTTCAACACATTTTATAAATCTGTGCTGCACTGCACAGAGTTGTAAAGCATCAAGAGCTCTATGTAACCAATACAGTTGCTATGAACTTATGAACTTCCTATCTGGTGAGGGTGTGTTAGAGAGCTAAGACCCTTCAGAGCACTTCTTGTACAAATAGAGACTTTATAGGACTGTTATTCTCTTTCTTTTGTACTTCAGTCGCTCCCGAAAGCGGATGCAGAATGTCTCAAACATCTCCATCACTGGCATGCTTATCATGTATCTTCTGGCTGCCCTCTTTGGATATCTTACCTTCTATGGTAAGTCAAAACACTGTTCTCTGCAGAATTTTCCCTCACTTTTTAATGCAGGCGGGCTGCATTATATTTTTCTATCACAAAGACTCAAGTATTAATGCATTTTTTGGGGGCCTGAAGTTTAAGCAACATTCAATTATAATACATGGTGTGTAACCTTCTGAGTGAACTGAGGGACTTATCCAACTGTCAGGCCACAAGTTCCTCACCTGTGAGAAATTCCAAGGCACCTACTACAGTTTTGTTTCCCTTGACTTTGTGAACTCAGACTGTGTAAGAAGCTGCTGTAAACTTGACTCTTGGCAAAGGCCAAGAGTACTAAAAATACTCTAGTGCTCAACGGTTTTACATGACACTATTAAGTGCTATCCAATCTGTCTCTGACGCCACTAGTTCAGTTTCATCTATGCTGAAAAACAGGTGTGAATCATTCTAGTGTAAAAAAATCTGGATGGGCTAAACTAACCGATAGGCAAATAGAGTGGTCCCTCTATTAGCGCACCATTTTGTGCAAACGCCACGTTTTTACCCTGTTAGTCCCTCCACGCAGCAGAGAAGTGAATGATACAGCACACTCTGCTCCCTATCACTGGGGCAAGAGGGCTCTGCTTGAGAGCTGAGACATCTGGGTGGAGGTCAAAAGGAGCTGTTACCAATTCAGTGAGTTGTTTCATATCACAGAATTTATTTTTTCTTCAAGTTCCACATCCACTTAATGACTTTCTCAAAGTCATCTCAAAGATACTGGAGTGCAAAGCATCACCTCAGAGCTGTATTACCCTCATCATCTCTGAATGATGGACTAGTATCAGTCACAGTGGGAAAATTCCATTTTCATGTCTAGCCCATAACTTGTATCTAATGACAGCAGCTGGGCTGAAGTTAATCTTATCTCTTATCTGGCTGCAGTATAAAGATCCTTTTAAATGTTCAAGGTACTGCTTAAGTGACGTAACTCCTTTCTGTTTCCTTTTCGTAGGAGAAGTTGAAGATGAGCTTCTTCATACATACACTAAAGTGTACACATTCGACACCCTTTTGCTGTCAGTTCGCCTGGCAGTGCTGGTGGCTGTAACCCTGACTGTGCCCCTTGTCCTTTTCCCTGTAAGTAACAGAGCTGAAATCGGGGGTAACCCATACACAGTGACTGAATGTGATCAGCACAGATTTTAACACTGAAGAAAAGTAAGCCCGAGTTTTTATTTAGAGAGGTCTGTTTTCTCATTTGACCAGAGCATGGACCTTAGGCATTTAGAGCTGCAAAATCTGAAAGACTGAAATAAATCAGTCTTTATAAATATATCAGGAATTACTTCTCTGTCTCCCTGGCTTTTTCTGTACTATATTTGTCAGAGCAGTGTTAAGTACCAAAGCCTTGGAGATATACTGAAACCACTTATGAGATTTCCTAATACAGACACAGGCACCTACTATAGCATCCAAACTTAGGACAGACACGTGAAGCTCAGGTCACGCATTGTGCAGGACTCCCACACTGGGCTGTAAAGTACAGGGACAGAGGGCCCTGTGCTCACCTTATAGGCTTGAGTCTATGGACAGGTGAGGAAACTAAATGCCAGAAAAAAGAGGTATAAAAGAGCTGCATAGTCAGTTATCTGAGCAAAATTTGGAACTTCTTCCCAGTGTGCTCTTCACTGGGAAAAACACAATAAGCACAGCAGCAGGGACAGAAAGACACAGCTAAACAAATTGCTCTGCAGAGGGACTGACCCTCCTCAGGGATCAGTCTGCCCCCAGTGGGCAGAACTCCAGGCTCCTGCACGTATAAGACTGTGCCTCATGTCTTCCCTGAGCTGCCAGGCAGTGGAGGAGAAAGCAGCTAATCCTCATCATTTGGTTTTGAGGCTGGTGTGTCGTTAGTACAGCATGTACAAGCCCAGCACCATGCTGCAGAAGGGCTCCCAGCAAGCTGCATCACACCAGTGTTCCCATCTGAGTAACCCGGGGGTCCTGTTGCTCTGTTGTCCTGGATGCAATACACTCTCTGCATAAGTACTGTTTCCAGGCTTGCTGACAAATGCCTAAGAGCAGTGATCACTGTTCAATGTTGTCTACTAAATAAAAAAAAAAAAATCAGGTATAAAGCACCCTGAGCAGTCAGTCCTTCTAGCTTGGAGAGGTTCAGTGCTCTGCCTTAAACATCATGTTTAAACCAGTGGCTAAATATTTAAATTAGTCTTAACAAATTGATCAGTCTTCATGGGAAAACAAGCTAAGGGGATCAAAGAAGCCTGTCTGTCAGGTGTAGCATTTTGTATTTTTAGATTTCTGTATAATCATTTTTATATTTGAATAGTTTGCAGTTACAAACCATAACACTGATTTTTCCATTAAAATTACTCCTGAGAAAATATCTTTTGCTTGTAAACCAGAATATCAAAGAGCTTTACACACCCTATCAGGACATCCATCTCAGCATATCTTACTACTTGAAATAAGCAGTATAACTATATCAACTACTTTTTTTAATTAATCATCCCATTTATATTTTCTTAAAGTAGTCAGAGTCTTTTATTTTAAAAAAAGTTATTGCTTTGTCAGAAAAATTAATCAAATATACATCTATATACCATTAGTCACTGTAAAACTTCAGTTTGATAGCTTCTTTTTAAGGACTGTGTCACAAAAGGAATAATGCACAAAATGCTGACAGTAAGCTCACAAGAATGCAGGCAGAAATTTTTTCTGTAATAAACCTATTTTACAACAACTCAAAAACTGAACAAAATATTTTCAATTTGCCTCCCTCTTCCTAATATTGGTTTACATCAACCTGAAGAACAGAAAATACAAAACTCATAGTGTGTTTTCAAGTAATGATACACTGACAGAACCCCATGTATTTATTCAATTGCCAAACTCACCTATAAGCAGTTATGTTATTTTAAAACAACCAAACAGAAGTGCATTTGGAACTTTTTTGAGTAGAAAAATATTTTTGTTCAATTTCTAAATATCAACTTTCAAGTTCATTTTGGTGCTTGAGGATAACATTATCTCCCACTACCAAATGGATTTGCTTTTGGCCTCTTTTCTACTTACCATCTTTTACCTGGTAAAAGCAAAAAAAATCCATGATGTGTGAGAAAGTCAGTGAAGCAAAAAATGATCCTCTGCAATAGGTTTTAGGATTATAACTTTCAAGTGGCATTGAAAAATATACTTTTCTTTTCAGAGATGTATATATATATATTTAATGATTAAGTACAACAGTTTCCTCTATCTCTCAGAAGAGTAAATGACAGAATTTATGTGGGATTTTCATCAGGTTCAGGAATACAGCAATTCATATTTCAGACACGATCTTTTTTTTGCCTGCTGATTAGTACTTATAGTGGGGGGGTTCTTTGAGGATTTTTTTTGCTGATATTAGCATCTTTCAGTTGAACAGATTTCATGTCCCTGATTCTACACCTTATTTATTTGACTTTCTCCTACACAGCAAATATTTGAGTTTCTGCATTAAAACTGTGAAACCAGTTCTCAAAAACCTACATCAGAGTGAGATTATATTATGGGAATCAAAGACTGAAAACACATTTTTTCAGTCAGAATTTCTGATAGCAGATGTAACTAATATAGTTTTGTTTTGGTTTTTTTAACTGAGAGCAAACATTAATTAATTGTTGTCTTACTTTCCGTTTTCTTTCATCTTGCAGATCCGTTCATCTATCAGTGCATTGCTGTTTCCCAAAAGGCCATTCAGCTGGATAAGACATTTCCTGATTGCAGCAGTAATTTTGGCTTTTAATAATCTGCTTGTAATTTTTGTCCCAACTATTAAAGACATTTTTGGATTTATCGGTAGGTTTCATAAATATTCTTTGCTGACTCTGTTATCCTTTCTACAACATATTTACATTCATGGACTGAAAGTCAATCTCTGTTTGAGTCTTACAGTAGAGTACTATAAACACAAATTGAAGTGAAAGGGGATGTAATAATTCCCAAACAGCTGACAGACAAAGCTATAAGCTACCCAACTTTGTTGTTACTTTGCATGAGGCACAAGAAATCCAGTAATCCCAATATAAAAACTGGTAAGAAATTCCCATTTTGACCAAAAGGGAATTTAATATATGTGGAGGAGAGAGAAATCACCTTTGTTTTTCAAGCACTTATAGCATGAAAAAATGTATTGACTTCTAAACTCTTGTGCTCGAAAAAGAAGAAAAGGGACAGCTTTTTTTTTTTTTTTTTTTACATTAACAGTTCTCTCCCTACAACTTTCTTTGGGTCAGTTTTGGCCTCTGACCACAGAGGTCCATAAAGAGCCTTCATTCTCTGGAGTGAGGTCTCAGGGATGCAGATGCCTTTGAGCAAGGTACCTCCATGGGGTTTCTGCAGCCGGTTTGCTCCTCCCTGCCTTTTATACCCAGGTGTTCATGCTGGACTCTGCTGACCAGAGAGGAGTCGGCACTTCTTAGGCACAGATCATCCACTCTCTTTTCAGTACCTGCTTTCCAGGGTCATCCCACCCTGGGAATGTCTGTTTGTCTTTGCTCTGCCTGACAGCAGACAGGCTTCAGCTGACGTGCAGACATCCCCACCACAGACAGCCACACCACTTTGAAAAAACCCTCCCAGTAACAAATGTCTCTTCAGGCCCCAAGCACCCAAATAAGTGTTCGGACATCTACAGGTCTCCATGAATGTTGTCTACAGAGAGAGCCCTTTGTACAGCTGGGCTCAGAACAGCAGCTGCCTCCCCACATGCTCTCTTTTGCAGGTGCACCACTCTGCTCTTCTGTCAAATGGGGCAGCACTCAGCTCTGCTCTCTCTTCCAGGAGCCTCTTCAGCTACAATGTTGATTTTCATCCTCCCTGGTGCCTTCTACCTGAGAATTGTTAAGAAGGAACCTCTGAGGTCTCCCCAGAAGATTGGGGTAAGAGGACTGGGGGCAATTGCAAAAGGAAGGGTGGGAGGGTGTGTGATGTTCACTCTTCATTAATACTCAGACCATTGACTCGCAACCTCTGGCACTTGCTCCTGAACAGTAGTGCCTCACTGAAAATACAGGTTGGGCAGTGGGATTCACCTGAGGCTTCTCAAGACAAAGCCTTTAGAGGCCTACTGCTCCCAACACTCACCTAAGTATTTAGGATAAAGTGTGTCTTAAACCACTAGGAAAAGGGACTAACTTTAATCCCATCTAAAATCCAGTTAACACCTACATTTGCATAAATAGCAGCAAGACAGTCTATAAAAATTTGTTGGTTCATGCTAGATGACCAGCTTTGGATTAACAGGAAGATTTGAGGTCAAGGTTAAGAAGGAAGTTGTGCTGCAGAGATAAGTAAGTAATAGTGAGCTCTCCTCTGAGATAGATCCACACACCTATAAGATACATATATGAAGGTCTATCATTTATGCACAGCATGTGTCTGTACATCGTGGTGGACTGCCACTGCAATACCTTTCATCCTGAACATCAATAACTATCTGCAGATTTAACTGAGGAAATGTTCTTTGAAAATGTAATTAGAAAACCTGTTGATGAAATATATATGTGGGCACATAATTTCAACAAATGGGCTTATATACACATATATATATATATATATATATATATATATATGTTCACAAAAGTCATGTAACTGATACATACTTCTAGTATAAAATAAATTTATTATGACAAAGTTATTTCTACAATGTTTTTTGAAGCTGTTATTGTAGAGAGACTGTGAATATTTTTTCATGTGTCTCTGTTCACTCTTCATGTTGCTGTGTGTTAGGCACATCTAGAATTTCACATCCTGCACTGAGATCACATACAGTATTCATCTTTGTTTTACAAGGACAGAGTATTGTTAAGTGTAGACAGATTATGGTAAACTAAAGCTCCACTAAAGCAAATGGTGACTACAAGCATCTGAATCCCTTGAATATACACAGAAACACTGTCAGATAAGAGATATGGGCTCACATGTTTGTCTAATAAGGATTAAGCAGGTTAAATCTGAAGTTGTTCTTCATGCCAGAGACTACGACCACTGACTGAAAATGTGTCATTTTTTAACGATAAAAAACAAAGTTGTTTCTTTGTTATATTTTTTTTATTATTGTTCACAGTACCAAAGTGGGTTGTCTTCAGATCTAGCTGTGTAAAGTCCATCTGTCTTGCACTGAAATTCACACAGGACTAACTTTGATTCATGTATCCCTGTACAACATTACTTGGGCTTTAGTCTCATAGAATAAGCCAAACTTAGGCCATGGGTATTACACTAATTGCAGATCCAGTGGGGCAATCTATGAGCTACTGCCTGCTAAGTCACTTGCTTTATTAATTAAATTTCATTTTCCAATTGCAGGCTCTAATTTTCCTCATAGTTGGCATAATCTTCATGCTTGTGAGTATGACTCTTATTGTAATGGACTGGATTTACAATCCCCCAAGTTCAAGGCATCATTAACCTGTGAAGACAACCAAGTGCTTTTTATAACACAAATATTTGTATTTGTGCTCTGAAGAACATCTGAATGGGATTGTTATTCCTAGCTAGTAACTGCAGTACTTTGAAGACAGTTTCTGGTAAGGTCACAAGAACCCAACAGAGTCTACATCATCCTTGTCAACAAGGATTGTTATTTATGCATTAGGAATCTGAGCTTAGCATTTCTGGCCAGGTGAAGTGAAAAGTGTGGTGTGAATGCTTTCTGTTTTCAAAACCAAAATAACTTTGTACATAGTTCTCAAAAATAGCTTGGTGTCACCCCTTTCAAAAATCTCCCATGATGATAGTAACCACAGTTCCTGGAGCCTTGGAAAGGTAATGGCCAGAAAACCGGCCAGTGCCTCGTTTTCCATCTGAAGGTCATGGGAGTGGCTGCCAAGCCACTGAAGGTCCAAGAGAAAGGGTACGGTTTCTGGAGGGGATCTGGAAGGTGATTCCTCCATGCCTGATAGACTGACCTGCCTATCAGAAAGACAGTGGCTTTGACAATGCAGTGGACAAAGCTGAGTGTTAGATTTGTTGCCCAGATTCATCGTCCAGCTGTTGTACAGAATAAAGCTCTCTGACACAGATTGTTTTTTGGGGACAAGTGCTTGAAGAACAGTAGAGTATTCTCATTTTATTTTTAAACATGCCTGTGCTGGAAATATCAGTCATTTCTGCAGTAGGGTTTTTTTTGTTCTTTAATTTTTAATTATTGTGTGAGCTTACATCACTGAACAAGTTGTAACCTCCATAAAAACTTGTCTTCCACTCTCACAGGAATTTAAGAAGACCACAAGGTGTGACAAAGCACCCTATCCAGTATTGTTCAGTACTTGTGTATTTGATAAATGTTCAGTGCAGGAAACTGTAATTTGCTATATATAAAAATATATGTATTTATGTACATAATTTTTTGTTTTCCTCTAGTCATAAAAATATTATCCTGTGGTATATGATTTTTGAATTTTTTTATGTGTCACTCTGTTTTCATAGCCACACACTTAATCCTATTTTGAAGGAAGCGTATTGAATTGGTGGGTTTGTAAAAGATCTGGTTTTATTCACCAGTGGTTGAAATATACCTGTAACAAGCCCTAACTGCCACCTTTGTAAAAACACATTCCTATGTTTACTACTTACATTATAATAAATTTCAAGATGTTTTCCTCTTGAGAATTCTTAATACACGCCTTGAAGTTTTGTGTTACCATTGTACACCACAAATTTGAATTATTTGCTCAATTGCTGTACCTCATCTTGTCTATGCATACCTCAGCATTCAACAACATCCTGTATGGTTAAGTTATGGGAGGGTGACAGCACTATTGACAATCTCAGTGTATCGTGCTATACAGCTGTGCAAGACAAGGAAAAAAAGGTTCCATTCCATGCTATATTCATGTTTAACTAACAGTCAAATCATGAGTTGGGCTGTGTTGTGGAGTACTCACTAAATATGCTCCCTGCACACACCAAGGGAAATCAGCCAGAGAGGTCATGCTGGCTCCTTAGCAGAGGGAACAAGTGGGAAGGTGCCACTGTCAGATTTGTCACACTTAAACAAACCCAAGCTCATGTAAAATGAGTTTTCATTTTCTGACTCAGAAATCTGCTGAGTAAACAGATTTTACTCAAAAACATGTAGATTCAGAAGGCTGTGAAGTACTCAAAAGTTGTCTGTACTCCTGCCTTCACACAAAATTCTGTTTGTTTGTGTGTCTGTGTGTGTATAAATTGTGTATACTTATAGATTGATTGGAAAGGAATATATGTATTTCATGTCAAATGCTACCTTTCTGAGCAGTATTATCTGCTCACTTGAGTACTGTATCCTTAATATACTGGGAAACACTTCCTTATGAATGCTAAGTCTGGCTTTACATTTTTTAAAGAAAATAGTGCCAATAATATTTGTAGTTTAAGCAGATTAATACAAATAATGTTGCTTTATTACTGAAGAGACCTTTAACATGGACCAGAATGAATAGTAAAACACCACCATACCTCTCTTCCTCTTACTACTACTGAGAGTTGTATGTATGAAATTATAACTCATATTTACTTCAGAGTTAAAACATGTATTGTGACTACAGCTGAGTGTAGAGACATAGGAATTCATGTAGTCCACCCAAAATATACAGATGACCTCAAGAAAAGTAACAGAACTATGGCATAACTCATTGCCTTTTTATGGGAAAAAAAGACATGGGTAGAGGGGCTGTAAAATATTGAGGTTTTGAATTAAAATACACTGGTGACAGTAATATGCAGCTGCTGCACACTCTGGCAGTAAAGGTAGTATTGCTCACTAACTATTAGCACTGCTGGGAATTCTGGTTGTTGGAGTTTCTTATTCATTTTGCAATGTTGACAATAGGTTTGGTGAGGATTTTTATTATTAGACGATCCATGAATGTATAATAAATTAATTTTTTAAGACTACAGATTATTCTTCCTCTGCTTTAGTCTAGCAGAAGAATAATTTTTGCTTGAAAACCAAGCAGAATCAAGGTGGTAGCCTTAACACAGATATTGCTAAAACTTCATTCCCTTTTAAGAGAGAAATTTGTGTATCCATGCATTCACAGATGAGCAAGATGGCAGCCCCTTCATATAATAACCCTTTGCCATTCCCTGTTTTCTATCTATTCATGGAGCTGCATTGATGTCATTGTGTATGGTGAGTGGCTGGTGTTAAAAGTGGGGTTATCTGGGAGTATTGAATGCCTCATTCTTTGGATTAGCTGGGATGCATGGTATGGCAACTAAATATAGTATGGGAGTATATATAGAATATTGCTAACTATAGTATAGGAGCCCACACCACATAGTACCACTATGTACAAATGCTTCCTATCAGTGCAGCTGCAGGTTTTCCCGCTGTTACATACTTGTCTGATGCATACTCACAGCCCAAAATATACTGGCCTACAAAGAGCTCCAGCACCAATGAGCTCATGTGAGAACCATGCCCATGGCCAGCCAGCATTTGCAGCCTGCCTGCTAATGAGGGAGGCACTGCAGTCCCAGACACATGCTCAACACCTATTCCACAAACATCCACCCTGACCTCTCCTTTCCTTCTAGTTAGGCAGCCCTCATTCCCTGCAGCATCAGCTCTGCTCTGTCTCAATGATGCTTGAGGTATAATTTCCTTGTATCAGGAGGCTATTTTAATTAAACTATTATGGTTGTAGGAAATGAATGAGGGGAGTTAAAGAAAAGTAAAAGGTGTGTCTTTAAGGAGGAAAAAAAATCAATGAAAATGTTAGAAATTTTAGTGGCCATAGAGGTATGTCATTAAATGGATGTTTCAAGAATGCCAGAAGTGATATAGAAAAAAAAAAAAGTAGTGAAGTAATGAAGTAATGAATATTTCAGCTCTGGATGTAGTAAGGGGCAGAAAATGGGGAATTCATTAGAGGGCAAAATCATCTCTAGTCCACAAATAATCAAAGGCTCTATTCAATAGCATCTATTTTAAACAAGGGCAGCAGGCCTAGGTAAGTCAGAGTAGCTGGATCTGGTGTTCGTTTTCATTAAAACCTCCTCAATGGCTGACATAATAGTAAATAAGGCTAGTCAGCAGTTACTCACTAAGAGGTCTAGGTGGTGCTATAGATGGAATATTTCCATTCATTTGACTTTAAATTTCAATGGAAGTTTTACTGAAAATGTGCAATTGCAACAACATTCTGGCAGAGCCCTGTCTGTTTTCCATTAACCTGCCTGGCAAAGTGCTGTGGGCTCCAGGGCAGCTTGCAGTTCTTGGCCTCCCTCTCTCCTGGCAATGGGCAAGAGCCAGCCCACTCACACCCAGCATGGACAGTGCTTTGGCTGAGGGTCCAGGGTGAGCTCAGGGTCACAGAGTTTCCTTCTGTGGAGGTCAGCCTTGGTGCTGTAGTAGCCAGACTGTCAATACTTCCATGCCATATTATGTTGTCTAATACCATCCTGGGGAAAAAAAAAAGAGCATGGTTTTAGTTAATTAAATCATCACTTCCTGAAAACACTTAAAATCTTGTGCTGAATCTGGGTGATAAAATCTGTTTTCTTAAGAGTATGAGATATATGAAGCTGAAAGGGATCTCAGGTAGCCTCCTATTCCACACCTGGATCAGAAGGTGTTAGGTTAGTGTTTGAAGCCAACTACATTGGCTCCAGCTGTTCATTTCCAACATTTAATTAAGTCAAAGAAAAAAACTAGATGTGCCAACTGGCTCACAACCATTACAAAGTGTAAGAGATGTTGCTTCCAGCTATGCAGGACACATCATGTATATCTCAGTACCCCCTGGACAAAGAGGTGGTGGGGGCATTCACAGTGCTGCAGAGCTGCTGCCTTCATCGGCACAGCATTAGCACTAACAGGAGTTATGTCCTGTGGAACCTAATCCCCTTGCCCCCCAGGTGAACCAAGTTCTAAACCCAATGCATCCCATAATGATAACTTTGGAAATCAAGATGTCCTAATTTTGCTGCATAAAATGGGCAGGCGACCTTATGCTGTTACTAACAGTGAAACAGAAGGTGTTTATCTCCCAGCAGAAGCAAAACTAAACATAAAAGGATGCTTGCTTGGCTGCAGCTCTCCAGGACACTTTGAAGTGGATGTTTCAAAGCTCCACACACTTGAATGGAAAGTGTCCGCAGCATTCATTCAGCTTTACATGTAGCACGCACCTCTTCTGGCTCATTTATTTTGAGGCTTGGGAAAGTTATCCTGCACTCAGTTCCAGATTGTATACACATAATTTATTACCTGTTTGTTCCCAAAAGAGGATCTGTACCTCCTCTCGGGGGGGAGCTTGCAGATGGCAGGAAGCGATGACTGTGTACCATCAGCATCATCCTCATTTTCACTCTCTGACCTAGGTGGAACTTCTGTCTTTTCTACCACAGACTGCCCCAATCTTGCCATCCTTTCCTTCCAAGATGGCTGAGCTTGGCTTTTTCACTAGCAGCTCAAGCCATTGAGCTAGTTTCCAGATTGCCAGAGTCAGACTAACCCAAAAACCTCCACATCCAGGAGTTAATGCTAGTGCCCATATTAGTATTGACACTTCTCCTTCGAATCCCCACCTTTAACCGGGTCTGTCCTAAGCAAAGTTGGAGGGCTTGGTACAAAAGATTCCTGAAGTTCCCCAGGAAGAAGCAGCTGCTGAGGCAGGCACCTTTTCATATACCTCACCTTATTTACTGTTTCTTATGGGTCACTTGATGGTATTCCCTTGGCTTGTAACACCTCCTGACCTAATATATCACTAGTGGGCAGAAATAGGTGCCCTACTTACATTCTCAAAGCCCCATTTCAGGGGTTAGAAGCCACCTGTTTCCCTCCTTCTGTTACAGAGTGATATAACTTACATCTAGAACTTGCAATGAACAGATATAAATCTTCTGATAGTGCCTGAGCTGTCTTAATTTACCCCTTTGCTCTTAATAATTGTCTTGCACTCTAAATTTCTTCTGACAAACCTTCTGCAAAATGGCAAATAGCCCTTTGTACAATCCAGCCTCAAAGAAAACAAACATAAGGATTACCCCTGCTTTTACACCTATGAGTAACTGGGCAGATGCAAGCTCAACAGAAAATTATTTCCCCATTATTTTCTCCAGGAAATCAGATGCCAAACCCCAAGCTGTTACAGGAAATGTGGTTGTTCCTGGTATTGCTCATTAGGAGTCTGCAAGACACTGAATATTCCTACTAACCTCACCTATATCAAGCTGCATAAATGTTCACACAATTTGTGGCTGAAACAGCTGGCAATTAAAGCAGCTGTGCTCTAGAAGCTATTGGGAAATCAAAGATAAGATTACTCAGAAGACAATTTTCCCTGAAATTGTCTCCAATGTCCAAGACCTCATAGTACTACTACATGAAATACATCGAATTGCATTCAGACTAGCACATTCCTGATGGAGTGACTCAGGCAACCTAGTCTGGCATGACTCATTTTCATGCATGCAGCCATATACATGGTCAAAGCCATTTGATTAAATGGGAATATTCTACCTGGCTTCAGGTACAGAAGAAAGAGAAGGACAAGTTCAGTATTTCAGTTAAAGAAAAAAAAAGGTATCACAGTTATCCTCTAGATGGGACTGAAACTGTTTGCCTCCCATAGACACTGTGCCACCAGCAACAATGGGATCAACCCTTAACTTCAGAAATTGGGAGCATACAATTAGCACCACCTCAATCTTTACTCCAGTCACTCTGAAGCATAACCACCACCAGGAGTAAGATATTTATGCAGCAGAGGGAAGATTTGCTAAAACACTGGAGTCAACTAAGTCCCACAGTCCTCAGTCAACAATTTCCAGATTCAATGCCAGATCAGAGAAAGACCTCATAGCAGTGTGCACATGTGAAAAGGTTTTTTGTAATACTTAGAACAGCCTGATAGAATATTTTGATTGGTTATTGCTGCAAACATCACAAAGCAAATCACTATAATAAGAATAAGAAATGTCTCCTACAGTCAAACTGGACTAGTTCCCTGACAAAGATTTTTTTCAATTCCACGTTTAGTTTTTCCATTAACCATATACCTCACCATCATTGAATAATATAAACTAAGCTAGTGTATGGGTACAAGCAACAAACTGTAAATCCCAGGAGCAGAGGCCCTGCAAGAATTTCTGAGTATTGCTTTCTGGAACCATGAAGCCAGGAACAGCATTTTCTGTTCTTTAATCAGCAGTTAGTAATAAAGGCAATTCTTTTGCCCTGTTAGTCTCAAAAAAAAAAAAAAACCCAACTCACAACAGATACAAAACTGTTCTCCTTCAGTTGGAGTGCAGAAGGCGAGGAAGTAGGGAAATATTAACTTTTCTACAACATCTGCTAAAATATCACCCATGTGTTTCACTTTTCTCATTCCTGAACACAGAAATACTTTGTTCATGACAATTCTCATGCAAAGAGATGACCTGAAAAGCACCGATGTGCAAATGAATTCATCAGAATGATTGCTGCTGCTTTGAGGAGACTTGCAAGCTGTAACAGATAATACACATTGCTATAGCAACACTTACACAAATATATATTTTCAGAAAGGTCCAATCCCCGAGGGACTCATTCAAGTCTTCATGAAAAGTTTCAGCTTGCCAGTGAGAGAGCAGACACAATCCCATGAGATGGAGGCAGCCAACACACCATGGATTGTATGAATTACTGGTCACTTGGGGCTGAAACAAGTGATGGGAAATAGTTTGTGAGAAATCCAACATTCAACTGAAACCCTCCGGAACTGAGGAAAACAAAAGTACTCATAAAAATACATCATCTTCCTGTGACAAGGCCTATCAGTTAGGAAACATGGAGTTAAACTGTTTGCCCTGAAGAGTTAGATAATCTCTGCTAAGGTATGCAGACTTGATGCAACATACATCTATCATTGGCTGGCATGATGTTGCTCCATTAAAAGCAAGTCAAAAGATTCACATGCACCCAAAGAAAAGTGGCAACCAAAACAGTGAGGAACATATTCTACATATTCCTGGAAGAATTTTCCCTTCTTCTGTTTTAAGGATCCTCACGTATAAACTTGTAATGGAAAACAACTAGGCACACACTAAGCATGTGGTTTATTCATAGAGTCTGTCACTTCTGTATAAAATATCAATTACAGCATAAACTGCTGAGATTTCTTCTGGGGTGTCACTGTTTTCTGATTTTCATTGAAACCATGAACACAAAATGTGATATGCCAAGCATGTGACATACTGAACCAAATGTGCAATATTTCTAACATGTGGGTTAAAATCACCTTATATTTACATTTACTCTGCACACAGATACTTGAGTTGAGTTGAATGTGAAATGATACATTTTGATTCAGTTTCCATTGATCTACTGATAAAATGGACATGTCCTTTGAAAGCATTCTGCTTAATTACATCCAAAGTTCTTATAGATTTTAAGCTAAATGAGATAAATCCCAGTCAGAAATGAAATGTGTAAAGTTGTAGAAGTAGTAGTAGTAGTAGTAGACGAAATTTTGTCCCATCTTTAAGAAAACATTTAGCAGTTTCCCTCCATCATATTTGTCCATAATTACAGTCTTACATGTGATAGGCAGAAAGAAGGAAGGCAGGGGTGAAACACAATAGCAAAAAAAATCAAGAATCCAGTCCTGAGCTTTATGCAATATAAGGAATTGTATTTTGCCTTTTCTTTTACAGTGTCTGTCATCATACTGATGAGCCTCAGCCTAAAACAATGACATTTTTAAGACTAGCTTATGTGGGTAGCTATTCTAGCTACAAAGTTGTGCATTGGAGGACACACAATTGGAGGAAGCTGTAGCCATGTGTCCAGCATATTGTTGACACAAGGCAAGATGTCTTTGTTTACCAGACACTGATTAGATCTTTTTTCGTGTTAAATGCCCTTTCCTAACTGACACTGCTCACTGGCATGCTTCCATGCTAGAGCCAGCAACAGCCTTTAGTCAAAGGAATCAGAAACAGCCGGACACTTGCCCTGACTGGTGCCTGTGGATAATTCTGCTGACACTTCTGCTTGGAGAAAGCATGCAGCCACATATCTCTGACAAGAGTTTTCAGCATTAGCAAAATCTTATAAACTGCTAACAGTCAGACACTAAATCTTTCCAGAAGAAGGAAGAGAAGTGGACCTAGTGACAGCAGACACAGCTGCTTGCTGGCCATCAGGATCACCTTCCCTAGCCCTGCACCCAGCAGGGGTGCCCAGGCATCCTCTCCAGGACTTGCCAGAGCAAGAATCCAGCAGGCAGATCGTGCTCTGAAACCTTGGATGAGCACTCACACCTCCCTTCCAATGACTCTGCCATGGGACATCACCTCCAGCAAAGAGCAGTAATATGGCAGAAGACAAGTGTTATTTCAAAGTGCTGAAGTCCTTTTCCAGTGAAGACATGCTTACCTGTCATCATATGTAAGGTCACTGAAGGCAGCTGTCTGGTATCCTTTAACTTCCAGGTTATGAGTAAAACAAACCAATTGATACCTGTTCTCTGAGTTAATCTGTCTATTGCAACCAACAAAATTGCTTCTGCTTGCATTTTATCAGGAAAGAAAATTTCTGTATGAGGAAAGAAAATTTCTCTGACATTTCTGGCAATGTTAAATAGCTCTGCACTCAGTAACCCACAATGTGCATAAGAAAAATGTGTATTTTAGAATAATCTCTACATTGCTGTTTCCCTATTGTTCACACTTGTGTAAAGAGTACAACAGGTTCTTGAGTTCCTGCAAAGCATGACCTACTAATCCTCACAACTACCACTAACTAGCTGAGGAAGCTTTTCTGCCGTACCCACCCCTGTCTTTTAAAAAATCACTCTCAAAATGATTGAATAAGAGCTGAGTATGGAGACAGATCATACACAGTCACTATTTGCTCTATGCCACCATGCAGAGAGTAGTGGTGTGCTGCCTGCCCAAATTTTTGACTCATGTTTTGAGGAAGCCACCACGAGCTGTTGCATGCAGAATAATTTCACATGATTCCTGAGGTATTAGGCAGTCAGCAGAGGTGGGGATGCAGAATAAACCTGACTTTAAAATGACAAATTTCCCAGAATATATTTTAGATGGGGAAATGCCAGGCAAGTTCCTAGGTTGATATGCTCTTGAACTGGGAGAGAGAAGATGCATCTGTCTTGACTCCACAGAGGGAAGACAGATTTTATCTCATTGATTTCAAGAAAAAGTAAATAAGGTAGAACAACTTTAGATGGTATTTATAGGTAGGAAAAAAAAAAACATAACTGGTGCGGTCCATAAGTACAAAGTTTCAGTCATTAAATTTTAATTACTGCTGCCATGAGTAGTAAGAAAGATAACAGAGCATGAAGTAATCACATTCAAGTGTACAAAAATCCTGTCTTTGCCTTTACTGGGAAAATGGCAGCACTGTGTTGGCCGGAAAAAGAAGTTTTGCAAATAGTATTGAACCGCTAAGGAGTCAAGGCTAGATTCATCACAGAACCTAAAATGCTGGGAGAAATAATTCAAGACCTTAGCAGGATCATCTCATTTGTTCCACAGGAAAGAGGATTCACTCAGTCACCTCTGAGACTTTTCCTGAGGTACATCAAGGGTTACTTTGGAGGGGATTCTAAGAGACATGCAGATGGGGCAGCAGAAGAAGGGATCCCTGAGCAGTTCAACCCTTGATGATTACCCGGGGCACCAGGCCAGTGCTGCAGCTCCTGGTGCTGGAGCTCACACTGATACCAGCACTTGAAAAAGTAAAGCTCTGTAAGGTACGGTCAGGCTGAGGAGAAGAAAAGCTCTGCAACATGATCTGCTCCATCTGCTCTCCTCACCAGCCAGCAATTTAATCCCTCTGCAGATAACACCTCACAGGACAGAAAGAACAAAGCTGTCTCCACTCAGGTGGTGTTGCTCTATGCAATACCACATAGATCATGTCCATATGGGCAAATTTACTTTCAGCTCAGACTAAGATGACTATGTCCATTCTGCCTCCAGCCCATGCTCTCTGAATTGACCCTATTTTGGTCTGCAGAGGAGTTAATTAGCACAGGGAAAATCAGCTGAGGAGTGTATGAATAATTAAGGATGCCTGTCAGAGTTTATACTCCAGTCCTAATATTTTTAGTATGGTTGAGGCACCCAAATCAGTTTTATTTGTTTTGAGCACAGGTCTGTTCCCACTGAGCCAGCTGGAAGCACCATGTCCACAGCCTCAGAGCACAGCACCAGGAGCTGGTACACTGAGCAGTCTCCATGCCTGACTCCCTCCTGCTTCCTGCTCCAGGAGCTCAGGAGCAATGACCCTGACCCCACCTCAGCTAGTTTCCAGCACCCACAGGACAACACACAGGGAAGACCTCCCTGAACTATTTCACCTGGCAGCATCATGCAGAAATTCAAGCTGGCTTTTTGCAGAGCTGCCTTGGGAAGCCATGGTATCTGTATGACTCAGATATTTCATCCCCACTTTCCCCTGGATAATTAGAGCTGACAGACATAACAGCAGTAAGAAAATATGCAAAAGCTTTGGCTACAGACTATCATCGAGGAAAGCACAGATAATAACAGGAAAAAAATTAATTTGCACTTTTAGCTTCCATTGCAGGACTTTTGTTTGGTACAGTTTCTGTGTATTTCACATGAATATTAAATGATGTAGGGCCTTATCCTGCAGCTTTTATGCATTCATTTATTTTGAGTTCCTGCTTATGCAAGAAGGTGTGTACCTGCAAGACTAAGGTCTAAGTGATCATTTCCATCTCCTTCTTTGCACATTATTGATCTCTCTGTACTTTTGCCTTATTTCCCCTGGCAAAGCCTTTCAAAGTCAAAGGAAATGAAACAATACTTCCCTCTACTGGGAGACCCCGGAATTCTGGAAATTAGTGTGAAGTGTTAAATTTTTCTGAGCTATTTTTGCTGGGTTGAGGGACAGGCCACAAGCAAAGACAGAGAAGAGGTAGAATTTTTTTTTGTTTTGTTCTTATCTCTGGATTAAAGCTTTGGGGAGTTCTTTATAACTCACTCTTTTTCCTGCAAGTTTTAGTCAAAGTGCCAGGTTTATTTTAATTATCAACACACCTATGAAAATCCTTGTGCCACTCAGGCAATATACTAAGAGATTTTAAGTCTTGCTGTGCAATTTTCTGGATCTGTTGCATAGTTCTTAGATTTTCTCAGGCTGCAATTGCATGGCCTATTCTAGGACTCCAGTGTCAGTTTTGGGGAAAAAAAAACAATCACCATCAATGAACATCTTTGAAACTCCCTTCGGGGGTATGATTCAACAGCAAGTCTCTAGGGGACATGGAAAATTTCACTCGTGGTTTATAGATCTTTCTGAGAAGGCTGTTCCACAAGGCTGGAAAGGGTGATTCCCACTGGAGTCATGGGAGCCCTGAGATTTCCAGCTTTTTTTATAAATCAGGATCAAGTAAAGCAAGGTCAAACACCAGCTGTCTCATTCCTGATTTTCAGGCATCATCTACTGGCAGCTGTCCATAAGCTTTTCTATACATAGAGAGATTTCTACTGGTTGTGGAGGCCACAGGGAAATTTGATAATAGGGGAGATTTATACCAAGCAATTCCCAGATACCTCTGTTACTAGTTTTCTCTGTCAGGTTGCCTTCCAGCCTCTGTCAGGGTTCTGCACAATGCTTATGTTACCTTCCATAGTTTCTGATTGTTCATAACCGTAAT